TTTAGCTCCCTTATCGAAGATTAGATGGCTATAGGTCTGTAGGTTCATTTCTGGGTTTTCAATTCTATTCCATTGGTCCTGAGGTCTGTTCTTATGTCAAGGCTAGCAGTTTACCACTTGAGCCACAGCACTATTTCTGGCTTTTTATCTTTATGTGGTACTAAGGAATCAAACCCAAGGCTTCATGCATGCTAGGCAAGCACTCTATCACTAAGCCACATTCCCAGCCCTTTAATTTTTTAAGTTTTTATTTTTTTGGTCCTGGGGCTTGAACGCTGCGCCTGAGCACTGTCCCTCAGCTCTTCAGCTCAAGGCTAGAGCTCTACCACTTGAGCCACAGCGCCACCTCCAGTTTTCTGGTGGTTTATTAGAGATAAGAGTCTCATGGACTTTCCTGCCTGGGCTGTCTTTGAACCGCGATCCTCAGATCTCATCCTCCTGAGTAGCTAGGATTATGGCCTGAGCCACTGGCTCCCAGCTTAAAATTTTTTTTGTTATAATATTTCATTACATAGGCCAGGCTGGTCTCATGAGCTCACCATCCTCCTGCCTCAGCTGCCTGAGTGCTGAGATTATAAACATAAACCACCATGCTCAGCTTTTATCTGACTAAGTTTAAGCCCACTGATAGAGCATCTTTATTTCTATTAGGTTAATTTCCTCACATTTGTAATCTGTCTTCTTATACCCTTTATCACTGAGATACTCAAAATTTAGTAGGATATTGTAGAAAGAAGAATTCGAAGTCATCCTATAATGGAGTTAATTTTGAGAGGGTCTGGGGCATAGGGGGTGATCATTGTGGAGATAAGTGGTAGTGGTGGCTGTGGTGTAGGTAGAAATGGAAACAGAGTACTTTTATTTCAGCTTTTCCTCCAAAATGTTGTAACGTCTACTGCTTCCTCTCATCAGGCCGTGGGGGATATAGAGGTCGTGGAGGCTTTCAGGGGAGAGGCGGAGACCCCAAAAATGGAGACTGGGTTTGTCCTAATCCGTAAGTATCTCCTTTACTTTGTGGAAGTAGAGTTTGGGATTGGAGTTAGGAGGCTCAAGAAGAGATTCTGGATCTAGTAAAAACTAGGAACATTTTATTTTCTTCTTAGATCATGTGGAAATATGAACTTTGCTCGAAGAAATTCCTGCAATCAGTGCAACGAGCCCAGACCAGAAGATTCTCGTCCCTCAGGAGGAGGTAGGTCAGCCACTTTAATAGCAACAACATGATGCTTGTTTTCTAGCTAGCAATGAACAGGTTTTACATTATTCTGCTTGCTTCATTGATTTGCATTTCTACCTTGCAGATTTCCGGGGGAGAGGCTACGGTGGAGAAAGGGGTTACAGAGGTCGTGGGGGAAGAGGTGGAGAACGAGGTGGCTACGGTGGAGACAGAAGTGGCGGTGGTGGCTATGGTGCAGATAGAAGTGGAGGTGGTTATGGTGGAGACAGAAGTGGGGGTGGCTATGGTGGGGACAGAGGAGGTGGCTATGGTGGAGACCGAGGAGGTGGCTACGGTGGAGACCGAGGAGGAGGCTATGGTGGAGACCGAGGAGGAGGCTATGGTGGAGATCGAGGAGGCTATGGTGGAGATCGAGGGGGTAGCTATGGTGGAGACAGAGGAGGCTACGGAGGAGACAGAGGAGGCTATGGAGGAGACCGAAGTCGGGGGGGCTATGGAGGAGACCGTGGTGGTGGTGGTGGAGGAGGAGGAGGCTATGGAGGAGACCGAGGTAGTGGCTACGGAGGAGACCGAGGTGGCTATGGAGGAGACCGAGGTGGCTATGGAGGCAAAATGGGAGGAAGGTAAGTATATGAATGTGCCTGTGAATCTTTTTACCTTACTGCTCTTAGATTTTATGATTTAAGCTGCTTTTGTCATGTTTTATTTTTTTACATACAACCTTTTGTAACTTTGAATTCCCTATTGGTAGATTTCAGGATGAAGAAAATCCATTTGATTCATTTCTTACCAGTTTCTAAAGTTTGGTTTGGAAACTTGTAAATCTTTTTTTTTTTTGTCGGTCATGGGGCTTGAACTCTGGGCCTGGGCACTGTTCCTCAAGGCTAGCACTCTACCAGTTGAGTCACAGTACCACTTCCGACTTTTTCGGTTTATGTGGTGCTGAGGAATCAAACCCAGTGCATGCGAGGCAATCACTGTACCACTGAGCCACCTTCCCAGCCACTGGCAACTCAGAAATCTTTATACGAGCATTTCTTTTCATAGTTAATGATAATTGGGATTTAGAGAGTTTATACCTGTGATATTTGAGTATTTGTTTATTATTAATCTGAGAAAAGAAGATTTTGAAATCTGTGAACTATCCTATCCTGCAGTTGTTTCTCTGTAGTCTGGTTGTACCTGTTCCAGGTGAAAACCACTGATGGAAGGGGGAGATTATGCATATGAATAATATAAGTTAAAAAATTGTACAAAAAGTGTAAGTTCCAATACTGGCATCCCATACCCCCCAAATCAAAGAACACATGGTAGAATATTACCCAAGGATCCATATGTCAGAGGCTGCATTTGGCAGTGAGAAGTGGTGTATTTGATTAAGGGTATAGAGGTGAGAGACAGACTGGGTTCTACTCCCATCGTTTTTTAGCTATTGAACTTAGGCAAGTAATTCAGCTCTTTGGAGCATCAATAGTTCCATCTGTGTAATGCAGCTAATAACGTATGACTCCTTTGTAGAGTTGTATAAAACTATAACAGTAGCTGGCCCAGAGAAAACATTGTATAATGGTTGGCTATTAGCAGTTATTTAGAGCCTAATTAATGTCTTAAACACTTGTTACTATATGCCAGATACTTTATATATATTTAATACTATACCTATTGACTCCCTGAGGTTAGAGATGCAGCTCCCACTTTAGAATTAAAGACTTTAAGTTTAGTAATATATTGTGGTGAGTCAGACTTCATACATGAAATGAATAATTAGGATTTTCTTAATATTGCTATATTTAGTATATGTTATTCTGTTTGGAGACTGAAATTGGCATAGCTTGATCTGAAATATTACAGGTATTTGGTAGTTCTTAGTGTAGGTGAAAAATTACTAAAGAAAGTTATTGATAGTAAAGCTTCAAGGAACTTGTCTTAAAGTTGATGAGTTAGAATTAATTCATTTATGTATGTCTTTATGTATGCCAGTTCTGGGCTTAAACTTAGGGCCAGGGTGCATGCTGTCCCCGAGCTTTATTAAGGAGCTTTTTTGCTCAAGGCTGGTGCTCTACCACTTGAACCAGTTTCACCCCTGGCATTTTTCTGGTTAATTGGAATCTCATGGACTTTTCTGCCCATGCTGCCTTTAAATGGTGATCTTCAGATCTCAGCCTCCTGGGTAGCTAGGACTATAGGCTTGAGTCACTGGTGTCCAGCTTAGACATTTATTAAATTCCTTCTAGGAATATAAGAATAAACTATGGATGCTGCCAGCCTTACCGAAACTGTCTAGCTGATGGTAGTTACTAGCACCCTAAAGAGAAATGTCTGATGTTCTTTTAGCAGAAAATTACAATTTAGTTTCTTTCATTTTTAATTTCTAGGAATGACTACAGAAATGATCAGCGCAACCGACCATACTGATGACTATTTTGAATTTGTCTCTGACATGATTCATAGTGAAATTGCCAGAGTTTGGCCTGCTGCTTTCCTCATGGCCTCTTCTTGAGTAGTGAAATTAAATGACATTTGGATTCTTATGGGGGGGGGGGGAGGTGGCGTCTGGGACAGTTTTTCTTTTAGGAATGTCTGTTGAAATTTCCCTTTTTAGTTTCCAACCTTTTCCTTCCCAACCTTTGAAGCTAAGTGCGTTGTAAAATATTGCCAAAATGGAAAGTGTTTTGTAATACTGCAATAAAGGCTGCTTGTTTTTTGTGGACTTCAGTGTATCATTCTATCACAGTTTTCAGGTATAGTCTGCTTAAACCTGAAGAATTAGAAAATGAATTCTTTCCTTCCTTTCTTTCCTTCCTTCTTTCTTTCTTTTCCTTTCTTTCTTTCCTTTCTTTCTTTCTTCCTTTCTTTCTTTCTTTTTCTGTTTATGTGGTACTGAGGAATTGAACCCAGGGCTTAGTACATTCTAGGCAAGCATTCTACCACTAAGCCAGCCACTTTCCCAGCCTGTCACCAGGTGATTTTTTAATAGTTAGTTTAGTACTGATTTACAGTTGACGACCATTTAGGGCAATGCTCTAGATGTTGGGCATATGAAATTCTAAGGGGTAAATAGGAAGTAAAATTCTATAAGCCAGGGTTAAAATATAATATACTTGTTATTTGCTTTTCATTGGAGAAATAGCTTACCTTTCCTGTTGGCATGACACTGGATCAGATGCTAGATAGTTCCTGGATACATTGCTGCTCAAATAAACAGCAGTTTGATAAGCATAAGTACAAGGTCTTAGAGCTTTGGCTCAAGTGCTTGGAGGTTCTGGGTTCATTTTTCAACATTTAGGAGGGAAATGAAATAGTCCAAGATGCATTGAAGGTTGATTATAGGACACTTAATCTAGCCATAAGAAGAGGAAGGTTGAATTAATAGAATAGGGAGCAGGTTCTGTACTTTGAGAGTTGTATATATTTCAATGTGACTAAAGGGAAGAATTCAAACATGATATGGAAGAGGGTAAACTGGAGAGATAAAAAGTTCTTGGATTACATTTTTAACTACCTTGAAATGACATCAGATTTTTAAAAAAAATTTTTAAGTTTATTTTAAAGTCACAAATACCTTTTAATCTTCACAATTATAGTCATCTACATTGCTTTTGAACTATATGACCTTTTTTTTTTTTGCTGGTCATGGGGCCTGAACTCTGGGCCTGGATGCTGTCCCTCAGCTCTTCAGCTCAAGGCTAGCACCCTACCACTTGAGCCACAGCACCACTTCTGGCTTTTTTTGCTTATATGGTGCTGAGGAATTGAACCCAGGGCCTCATATATGCAAGACAAGCACTCTACCACTGAGCCACCTTCTCAGCCGTGAACTCTATGACCTTTAACAAACTATTTTTTACAAGTTGCGTGTTATGTATATTTCTTTCCTTTTGTGTAGTATCAGCTGTTCCCTCTTTCTCATTCCCACCTTCCCATCACTGCCCTTCAGTTGCTTAGCTCACTTTCATCAATGTCCAGTGCAGCTGATGGGCCTCTCTATTTATTTCACCCACTTTCCACTGATTCTGTCTTCTGCTTGCATCTCTCAGATGTGCATGTGTATACACCATATATGAGGTAAAGAATACAGAATCATCTAAAAACGATAGGACAAATTAAGAAGATGTCCTTTGTTTCCTTATCTTTGGGGTTCTTTTCACTGTGCTTATTTTATATACAAACAAAGGGGTGCTTGGGTATTGTGATTTGGTGTTTCTCCCCCAAGACTATCCTTTTTTGGTCTCACTGTGTATTGGATAGCTTGAGTCCTGTTTTATATTGTCATATCTCATTGCATTTTAATCTCTGTTATAGAGAAGATGCACCATTTATCTCTCTGATCTTGGTTTATCTCTCAACATTTGTTCTAGTTCCACCCATTTCCCTGTCAAAAACATTATTTTATCCTTTCTAATGGCTGTGTAAAATTCCATTGTGTATAGGTACCACATGTTTTTGGATCCATTCAACTGTAGTGGGGCATCTGGGTTTTCCATATCTTGGCTATTGGGAACAGTGGGGTAATGACAGATTTTTTTTTAAAATTTTTAATTAATTTATTTTTTCAGTCCTGAGGTTTGAACTCAGGGCCTGGGCACTGTCCCTGAGCTTCTTTTGTTCAAGGCTAGCACTCTGCCACTTGAGTCACAATGCCACTTCTGGCTTATTTCTGTTTATGTGGTACTGAGGAAACAAACCCAGGACTTCATGCATACTACCACTAGCCACATTCCCAGCCCATTACATTAGGTTTTAAGCAAGTGTGACATGATCTGATTTGAGCGGCAACAACTGAAATGATGATGCTGCTTTAGGAAAAGGCAGAACTATAGACAGATGGTAAGGTTTGTGAGAGATTACTCTTGTCCTGAGCTGAGAGATTTGAAGATTCTGGGTGATTTCACAAGATTAAGTTGAATATCTTTAATGGTGAGGAAAAGCCAGGTTTCTGACCTGGGAAGATAAACTGTCTATTGAGGTAAAAACAAAGAAAACATTGGTGACTACCAAATGTGTTTGCATTTCTGATTCCCCTCTTTAAGTTTTTCCTCTCCTAGTTACTTAAAGCTTTCTACTTGGTTATAAAAATAGGTGCTTAAAACTTAAATATGTATTGAATAGAACTTCTGGTATTTCCTCGCAAATCAGTTTCTTGTCTTCCTAATCTCAGTAAATATTTTCAATAACCACACAGGTTGGATACGTTTAAAATTGAAGACCTTGATTTCTCTTTCATTCATCCTCAACATTGTAAGCATGGGTTTGAACCTCAATCCTCAGATCTCAGCTTCCTGAGTAGTTAGGATTACAGGTGTGAGTCACTAGCATCCGGCTTTCCCCTCCTCTCCCACCCTTTTTGTAAGTAGCTCTAAGATGCCAAATGTTCAAGCCAGGCCATGTCACATAGGACAGCAAGGATTTTTCATCCTTGAAACTATTGACATTTTGTGTTGGACAATTCTTTTAGAGACTGCTTGATGCATCCCTGACCTCTATTTACTGGATACCAACTAGTATGTAGTAGGTCATGGATACTGCATGCAAGTTGTGATAGCTAAAACTGTCTCTAGACTCTAGGGGGCAGACTTGTTCCTTGTTGAATATCATTGTTTTAGTAAAAGTTTTGGTAGAATTGAATTCTGTACCCAAACTAAAATGGGATAATCAGTAATAGAAATTGGATAAATGGAGAGAAGTTAATGTGGAAAACTAAGATTTTTTTTCAGGGTGTTCGCAGGGATTGAACCAGTTCCTTGCATATGCCAGGCAAATACTGTACCTTTAAGCTGGGGCCTCTTCTTCCCCCCAACCTCCCCTGCCAATTTTGACATGGAGTCTTGCTGGGAACATTTTAGGTGGAAGCCCTGTATTCAGACTCCCCCCCCCCCCCCCCTTCCACCAAATACACACACACAAGCCTTACTAATTTGTCCACTGACCTCTAACTTGATGTTTTCCTGTTTAAGTCTCTGGAGAAGCATGTGCCACCAACACCTAGCTCAAGAACCTTAATTATGAAGGGTGATAGAGGTGGAGTGATAGGAGAGAAAGTAGCAGCTATACAGCAATGTGGGCATCTGGGCAGTAACTTTAGTTTTTTGAAATTTATATTTGAAAATGTATCCTAGGATCATAGCCCTCAGAAAGCTAGTGAAGGAGGCTCATAAGTTTGTGGTCAGCATGGACTTAGTAGTTAAGATCCTATCAAGATAATGAGGGAGAAAAAAAGCTTTAATCTCTCCCTTCTAGTTTTTTTTTCCCCCCTCTCTAGGTTTTGCCTTAGGATTAGCTTTGGCATCAAATTCTGAGCCCAGCCAAGGATTTGATTCAGAGGTAAGGTGGCTGTATAGGGAAGTGTTAGCTCTGTCCCCTTTCCTCTAGTGGAAAGGACAAATGATGACATACAATACCTACCAGGAGCAAGGAGAGCACAGCAGACTAGTGGTAGTATAATGATTTATTTGTGAAAGAGGAACCTAGATTGTTTTCTCATGGGAAGGAGAGAGTAGAAGAACTCACAACTTGTAGGCTTGTTTTCTGGTTATGGCCTGCCAAGCTTCCCTGGTCTGTGACCTTTGTTTTTGTGGTTTAGAGAAACAGGGTGGGAAAGCAGGTATTTTTTTCCTTTTTCCTTCCTTGTCGCAGAATTGGGAAATAAATAATGGGTTCAGTTTCGCAAGTCGAAAGTCGTAGATGTTTAATTTTTCTAGGATGTCAGGCTCTTTACGGAACCTCGTAGGCTCTTTCACCTGGCTGGTGGTAGGTACCGCAGAGACAAAGAAAATCTTGTTCCTCAGCTTCTTTTGGGCCCAGGGGTTGACGGAGGCCAAAAGAAATAATGTTTCTTGTAGCTGCAGTGAAACAGAGGTCCAGGGCTGGTTCAATTTGGCCTTAGGCTAGGAGGAGATGAGGATGGGGAGGGGTGATCCTAGAGAAGGGACCGGCTAGCCACATGCCACTATAGCCCAAGGAACCAGATGTCAAGGCACAGTATCACCCCTTTCCTGATCAGGAACAAATGAGATTAGTGGGAAGAACTTGGAGGAGTAGGATAGAGGAAGGCCTTACACTCTTCTTCACAGTCTGGCTCTTATCAGCATCTAGCATATCCAGGAGCAAGTGAAACACTTGTGGGCTGCGGACCCCCAGGACGCCCTGGCAGAGGCAAAGTTGAGCCTGCCTAAGTAACCAGCCTTGAAAGACACTCACCCATCCTTCCCAGTTCAAGCCCTTGTCACTTTTTCCTTGTCACTTGGAATTCTAGTTTCCATTATTTATCAGGAAAAGTCAAGATATTCTAAAACACCTAATAGTATCTTTGATACCCATCTTCTATCCTCTAGCCCACCTGTCCTGAAGAAAAGGTAATACTGAGTTCTTGATAGGGCTAGAATTCTATAGTAAACAACCTCCCCAGACTTGGTTTCAATGCAGCTTTCTTCCCTTGGTGACTGCTCAATTGCCTGCTACGCCTGCCATCAACATATATCAAAATTGGCTCAGAAAAACAGAGCCTGCCTTACCAAAGAGGTGACTGCTTCCTGGCGTTTAATATCATTTGGGTTCATCAGGTCTCTGTACAGAAAGAAATAGGTTATCCAATTTAGAGGTGAAGAGGAAGAGGGAGGCTGGTTGCTTCTCAGATCCAGAGTGAGTTGGGTGTAATACTAAGTGATATAAAATTTACTTTTCTTTTTCTCAAGTCAGGAAAGGGCTTGGGATGGGGAAAGCAGGTGCTAGAGTTTGCTGTGGGCCATTAAATATTGATCAAGACTCAGCTGTCTAGAACTTTATGTTTTAAGAATTCCTTTCAGGTTATATTAATTTGAACTTTTTTTTTTTAACAACCCTGAGTGGTATTATGAGCTTTTTTTTTTTTTTCAAAGAAGGAATAAAACTTAGGAGTCTAAAAGTGAATTGGCTAACAACCTGAGCTCTTAGTCAACCCCTCTGTTCCTGTCCTACCACCCAGGATTTGGCCCTGGAAGCTCCCAGACCAGGCTACTCACACCTCCACCATATTCATCATCATAGGTTTCATCTTGAACTCTTCCACCAGTTCAGCCACAGCCTTCCTCATAGCCTGCAGTGTGGCACAGAGGAAATACAAGGGTATATATTACGAACTTTATGAACCTTTATTGAGCACTTGCTGTTTTGCTCTATAAGGGTCTCTGCCTTGAGAGAGCTCATGCTCAGCTGGAGGCAGCAGACAAGTAATTACAGAACTGCATAGAACACATACAGGAAGGTTTCCTGACTCAGTCTTGGGCATGGGAATATTCTTAGAGGAAGTAGTGCCTCAGTTGGAACTTGAAGGACGAGTAGAAGTTGATGCAGATTGAGTTGCAGAGAGCAGATTTTCTTGGCAGAAGAAAGGGCATGTCAGGTGAAAGAGGGTGAGGAGCTGAAAACAGTTTCACTCATTAAGGCCATCAAATAGGTTCTTGAGAGCATTCTGAGCACACTGGGACATAGACATCCTAAGCATAGCTGGTATGTTGCTCTGAGGGGGAGAATGGACATAGATAAAGCTGGAGAGCTTTAGTCAGGCATTGGTGACACATACTGGTAATCCTAGCTACTTCAGGAGGCTGAGATCTGAGGATCACAGATAGAAGTCAATCGAGACAGTAAAGTCCATGAGATTCTTATCTCCAATTAACCAGCAAAAAGCCAGAAGAAGCTGTAGCTCAAGTGGTAGAGTGCCAGCCTGGAGGGAAAAGCTAAGGGACAGTGTCCCGGCCCCCTACTGAGCTCAAGTCTAGTACTTGGTACACACCTGTGTGCAGGCACACGCATATACATACACCAAAACAAACAACTACAGAGGTAAGCAAGACTCAAAATTTTGGAGTAAAGTAAGCTTCCCTAAGGGACACTGTCACTTGGAGCGACTGAAAAGTTTTATGCAGAGATAAAACATAGCATTTTAGAAAAGTAGAAGTGCTGTTGTTGATTTTGTAACAAGTTATGGTAAATATAAAAGTAAGGGAACACAGAGGAAAGCAAACCTAAGTGTGATTGGTGATTTGGGAAAGTTTCCCTTATGAGGTGCCATTTGGACTGGTCTTGAAGGACCAATAGCATTTTAATAGGTAAAAGGGAGGGAATGAACAGTATTAGCTGAGGCATTTGTGTTGAGAAAACTGTCCAAGTGAAAGCAAGGTGGCTTGAAATCATGGTCTCCATTAGGGGAACAGAGTGTAGATTACAGTGAATGTAATACTGGGGGTGGGGTATGATGGGAGCCAGCCTTCTCCCAGAAGAGAAAAAGAGTTGCCTGGGTTTGGGAGCTATGTTCGTACAAGGAAGGGTTCTCTGTATGTCTTCATCTTGAGCAGGTCAAATGTGGATTCTTCTAGTCCCTGTTTCTGGATTTGTTCCAGCCCAATGGTCTTAAGCATCATAATGGCTTCATATCGGTCCTGGAGGGAACAGGAAGTTAGGCAGGGATGTGAAGGAGAGGCTTCTCATCTTCCAGCCCTGTCCTAGTGCTGAAGAAGGCAGTCCAAAGCTTACCTCGATGACTGGGGAAGCACCGATCTGATCCAGAATGGCCCTTGTGACTGCAGCAGACTTCACCTGCATAATCTTGATCAACATCCTAAGTGCCTGTGAAGGATGAGATGGGCCAGGGTAGACAAGGGTGTACTTGAGAGCTAGGCCTAGAACTCATTGGGAGCAGGTGGGCTTCTTCTCGCTCATTGCTTCTTGAGTGAAAACACAAGTTGTGTGTGCACATGTGCACAAATGTGCATGCTTCTGTTGTGTTCATCATCCCATACTCATACAGATGCATGCTTACAAATACATAGAGGACCCTGTTGTCTCCCTCAGTTGAAACTTATTTTCTTTCGGATGAGGATGTCAGGATTCAAACTTCACCTCAGCCCAAACTAGTCTTTGATTTTTGGCTGCTCCTAGAGAGCCTAGCTTCCTGCACCCTCCCCTCCCTCACCTCATACCTTCATTTGATGAGTCTTGGGCCCTTGGCACAGGCTCTGCAGCAAGAATTCTTGGGCTGTGGTGCTGTGGGGCCTCAGGAAACCCAAGCACAGGGCTGCCTCCAGGGTTGTTTCACTCAATGGCTTTTTTATCATTGCCTTGAGCATGCACACCAGCTCTTTTTCATTCTCAACGTGAATCCTCTAAGGAGACAGCAAGTGTAGGTGGTGCTTTGTTCTTTATTTGTATACTCATCTACTTTTTTTTTTTTAGATAGGGTCTTGTTACATAGTTCAGGTTAGCCTAGAACTCAGTGTAAGCTAGGCTAGCTTCAAACTGGTAATCCTGCTTCAGCCTCCCAAGTAAAGGGATTGTAAGTGTGTGTCACCATACCATGTTCTCCTCTACACTTTTTTTTTGTCAGTCGTGGGGCCTGAACTCTGGGCCTGGGCCTGTCCCTTAGCTCCTCAGCTCAAGGCTAACACTCTACCACTTGAGCCACAGCACCACTTCTGGCTTTTTCTGCTTATGTGGTGCTGAGGAATCGAACCTAGGGCCTCATGCATGTGAGGCAAGCAGTCTACCACTGAGCCACCTTCCCAGCCCATCTTCTACACTTGAAATTTAAAATCACGGTACTGTTCTACTTAAAACATCCCACAACTCCCTGTCCTGCTCACAGTGAAAGCGCAGGTACTTAAATAGGCCAAAGACTATATGTGAGCTAGTATCCTATTAATGTCTTTGTCCTGAACTTCATCTCCTATTGACTTCTTCATTTCTACTCCACTTCAGCCATATAGCCTTCCTGCTGATCTTTGGCCATGCCAAGCATGCTCCTATCTTTTCATGAACAGATCCTTCTGTCTGTAATACCTTCTCAGGTTTCTATAAGGCTAACCTCCTCATTTTCATGTCTTTGTTCAAATATACCCTCTAAATAATACCTTCCATATCTAATATATTTAAAGTATAAACCACCGCCATCCCCACTCAGCATTCCTGATAACTGTTACTTGATTTTTCCCATTGCACCTGTCCTTTGTGAAATAGAAATATGTTCATTGTGTGTCCTACTAGATTATGAGCTCCAATAGGGCAGGGATCTTTGCCTATTTCATTCAGGGATATATCCCAAGGCCTATGACGATGTCTGACACGTGATAGCTGTCTTAGATGTATTCATTCGATAAATGGATGAATGATGGGTTCTTACACAGAACAGTGATGGAATCAAAAGAATCCTAACATGGAGCAGACTGAGTAGTGTCAGAGGATTTGTTTGGCTCCTCTCCCCTATTGACAGAGATTTTGCTCCAGTAGGTTGGTTTAGAAACAGTAATTAAGGCTACCATTTAAAGAGCACAGGTATTATATTGGGTGCTTTACATACATTGTCTTATTTAGTCTCTCCAACCATTCAGCAAAAAATTACTGTCCATTTAAAATACGAACAAACTTTAGTTCTGAAAGCTGCCTTTTCAGAGGTTGTCTGAGGAGTGAGTGATCCATGCTACAATTCAACTCTACAGAGAACTCTGAAAGTCCTCCTCTATTAAAAGTTGAGAGCTAGGTTATCTTCTTCCTGCCCCCTGCCCCCAGCCAAACCCACCAATTTCCTTTTCCCTGTCACCTTGTCTTTAGGGACAGCAGCCCAGGAGTTCAAAGCCGCTCGCAGCCCTCTCAGAGTCTCCATCTTTTGATACATATTTGGATTCTTTAACTGATCAATGACAGCCTGTATCACATACTTATTCAGGCAACCTAGACAGAGAGGGTCCTCAGATCAGGGCAGAGACTCAAAAATTCTTCCTTACAAGGACTCATATTAAACTCCATTGTCTTCTCAAAGACAGCCCTTCTCTGAGTACTAAGTTCTAGGGTGTTTCCCATTCTCTCAAAGCACTTGAGGAGCTGACCAAGTATGAGTAGTTTCCAGAGCTCTTCTCCCATTCACCCCACCTTTCCCTCTTGCCCAACAGTACCTAGCAGAATTCCCAGGTCCTGGCAACTGCTTGGTTGGAGTGGGTTTTCACCCTGCCCCCACATGTCTTTACCCAGAGGAGGAAGGAGCCGGACTTCTGTAACTAGTTCCTCATCTAAGGTGAAGATCTACTCACCCAGTATGGCCAGGGTTCGATAGGCCTCCGACTTCACTTTCTCTGGACCAGTTTGGGCCTGACAGAAGAGACAGATGGTGGAAACATACCATAAAGTGATAGAAATGCTAGCCCTTTAGCAATTCTCCTGTTAATTTTTCATTTATCAAAGAGAAACTGAGGCCATGAGAGCATTGTGCTGATGCTCAAATATGAACAGAATACAGACAGGTTGGTATGGAAGGAACACTGAAACTGGAAGATAAGCTGGTTCAAATCTAACTGGTATCTAGCAGCCATGTGGGTTCTCGGACCTTTTTTGTTATTGTTGTTGTTCTTTCAGATACTATAATTTTAGTGCTATTATTACAGGATTTAAGTAAAATTATGAATCAGAATGATGCTTCAGATTTGAAATGAACATGTGAGCCTGGAGCTTTGTTCAAGTTTCCATTCTTCCATGACCTTGCTGTCCGGCATCTTTTCTGTTAGATCAAGAGTATCTTCAGATTTCCCCTTTCTTCGAGCTGCTCTTTAGAGAAGCCAGGACATGCCACACACTGGAGGCTCTTTCCTCAATGTCAGACACTAGAGCCTCTTTCTTCATGGCATTTGACCTATCATTCTGGGACTCTGGGGCGCCTTGTCTTTTCCTAGGTACCCATTTACTATACACCTAAGCCTCTGTTTCCTCCTTTTCTGAACTCTTCACAGCCGCCAGACTCACCACCTGCCACAGTGCCTCCATGACAACCTTGTCATTGATGCCCAGGCACCTCAGAGCCTGCAGGAAGGGGAAAGGAGAAAGGGAATTTGGATAGCACTCCCAGAATCACCATCCTCTGGACCCAATTGGAGTTTATACTTGGAATACCATATCTTTCCCCACCACCCACCTGTAGCGGCTTTATTTTCCAGCTCAGCCACTTCCTAGCAATAACCACTCCCATCCTTGCTACTTCTTACCCGCGTTGCATATAACTGCTCTTCCTCTCTTGGAGATGTCAGGCTTTGTGTTAGTTCCTGCCATTCAAGGCAGCCAATGGGAGGGAAGGAAGAAAAATATAACACTGTAGATGGAAAGGAGGTCAACCAATCTGGCTTCTTTTCCCAGCTCCCTCTGTTTTACAGGCAAGGACGGAAGGCTAAATGATGTTAAGGTTACCCACAAGGTAGGTGTCTTCCTGCCTTCCTCCCCATCAGTCCTGACCTTTAACCTTTTCCATTTCAGGGGGTCCTTGATAGAGTCTGAGGCCCTTGATGGCATCAGAGACTTTGACATCAGCTTGTTCATGGGGAGACGGTAACTTTGGGCAGCTTCTTTGAAGAACCTATGTAAGAAACTGCTCAGGTGGTCAAATCCCTCCCCTGCCTTCCTGACCTATTCTTCAAGTTACATCCCCACAGAGCCTCAGCCCAGCTCTGAGATAGAACAAGAGAAAGTCAGATGAGGGCTCAGTGATACCCACCAAGCCAAGTTGCCTTTCTACTGCAGTGGCTGTAAGCAGACTTGTCCTCTACCCGCCACCCACCCTTTCCTTGCTCTTTCTCTTTCCTAGAAGACATGGAAAGTGTGAAGAGTATGGAGGCAGGCAAAGCACACCTAGGCTGCTCTTCGCTTCTCTGGAACACCACCAGGGCCTCCCGTTCTTTCCGCTTATCAAACAGGGTATGCCAATGTGTGCAAACCTCGGGCACTTCGCAGTAACAGTAAGGAATTGCACTTGGCTTTCTGGGGTGCTTCCGCCAGCGCTCTGGACTTGGTGGATACTCTTCCTTTGGCATCTGGAGGTGCAAGTGACAGAGTAGTCAAAAAGGTCCCCTAAGATCTTACTTGAGCTAGGGGAAAGGAGGAATGGAGGGAGAAAAAGGTGGCAGATGAAAAGATGACCTTTCAGTCTCTTACCTGGGCTGTAGTCAGCTACCACCTAACCCACTGGTGAGTTTTGGGCACATTTCTTTACCCTACAGAGGTGTTTGTCTTTTCATTTGTAAATTGGGGCTAGTAATAATCCTTGTTCAGTTCCCTTCCAAGCTTATTGTGAAAACCCAGATCTTTAAAAAAGTGTGTGCGTGTGTGTGCGTGTGTGTGTGTGTGTGTGTGTGTGTTTGTGTGTGTGTGTGTGCTGAAACTGGTGCTTGAACCCAGGGTCGAGGCGTTATTCCTGAACTCATTTGCCCAAGACCAGCACTCTATCACTTGGGCCACAGGTCTACTTCTGTCTTTTTGTGGTTCATTGGAGGTAAGAGTCTCACAGATTTTCCTGCCCTGGGCTAGCTTTGAGCCAGGATCCTCAGATCTTAGACTCCCGAGTTACTAGGATTACAGGCGTGAGCCACCAGGCACCCAGCTTGAGATTCAGATTTTGAAGCCACAGTTTGGGTAGTATAGGATCTCAAAGCCTGTTGCAAAGGTCATGTGGCCAAGAAGAGAAAAAGGCCAGGGGTTAGGGGAGATGTGGAATAAAGATGAAGAGAAGATAATTTTTGAGCTCCCTCTATGTGCTAGGGATGCAGTTATCTCCCTAGGGCTCACAAACTTCACAGATTTAATTGGAAAAAAATTGTAAAAACCTATTTTCTGTGCTGAGATCAAATCTAGTGCCTTGTGAACACTGTGCAAGTACTCTTACCTCTGAGATACATCACTAGCCCTAAACTCTACAGTTCTCACTGAAGAGGAGGGCTTTTGGAGGGTTTGAGGATTTGGCTGGGATCTAGCCCTGTCTTCTTTCTTTACAGCATATCTCTCTGGGTTACAGAAAAGAGGTTTCAGCCCATGGTTCCCAGCTATGTGACCAAAAAGATGGAAACTTTTCAAGTTATAGTTGTGATTTCAGAAGATGGAGCATTGACTCATGGTGAGTAGTTTCCAGACTTAAAAGCCAAAATAAAGCCTAAACAGGATGTCAGATTTAAATTTGGATTTTGGGTAATGAATGAAACATTTAGGACATGCTTATACTAAAAAGAAATCATAGTTTATCTAAGACTTAAATTTAGTTGGGAATTCTCTATTTTATCTGATCCTCTAAGGATCTCCATGCCAGATAATAAGAATTTGGAAGACATGGCACTGTGGCTCAAGAAGTAGAGTACTAGCCTTGAGCAAAAGAAGCTCAGGGACAGCACGCAGGCCCTGACTTCAAGCCCTAGAACCGGCAAAAATATCTGTTACTCTTTGGGCTGGGAATGTGGTTTAGTGATAGAGTGTTTGTCTCTCATGCATGAAGCCCTGGGTTCAATTCCTTAGTAGCACATACACAGAAAAATCTGAAAGTGGCACTGTGGCTCAAGTGTTAGAGTGCTAGCCTTGAGCAAATAAAGTTCAGGGATAGTGTTCAGGTCCTGAGTTCAAGCTCCATAACTGGGAGAAAAAAAGAATTTGGTATTTCACTTGACAAACCTGAGGATTGCTGTACTAATTAATAAAAATGGCTCCTATTAGTAAGCATTCCCTGAATAGCCCAGGTCTTATAGACCTTTGTGTCATAGCAGCTCTATATAGAGGAATAGACAAGGATTTACCTATTATAGAGGAAGCTTTTGAGGCTCAGAGATGGCAGGTAATTTGTCCAAGATCATCCAGCATTAATGGTGATCCCAAGAGTGAATGTCAGGGTTCTCTGAACTGGCCTGAATGGTAAGAGTGGATTTGCTGCCTCTCCTACTTTGGCACAACTCGTGAGTAGTAAAAGAGATCTTACCTGGTAGCAGGACAGGGGCAGATGGACAGGAGCCATGGCTTTTCTGAATTCTGGCAAGAAGGAAGGTTAAGAGTATGTGTATATGGGTGTGGGGGGAAGCACAAATAAAACAATAGCTGCAAAGGAGTGTGCATATTAGAGAATGGTTCATTTAGTCCACATTCAGTGGATACCAGGTACCAAGGAAGTAAGAAGGCATAATTCCTGTTCTTAAGAGGCTTGTAATCATCTAGTAAGTACTGAACTACTAGGTAGACACTGTCACATTTGAGCTACCCTCCAGATATTGTGTTCCTCTAACTGCTATCTGTGGAGGAACAGCACAGTGCCATAGCCTGGGAGCTTCTTAGAAATGCTGAACCTCAGGCTTCTCCTCAGAGTGAGGCTCTTCAGTTGGACAGGACCCTCAGGTGATTCCTATGGAGTCTAAGTTTTAAGAAACACAGGACCAGGGCTGGCTGGGAAGGTAGCTCAGTGGTAGAGTGCTTGCCTTGCATGCATGAGGCCCTGGGTTAGATTCCTCAGCACCACATAAACACAAAAAATCTGGAAGTGATGCTGTGGCTCAAGTGGTAGGGCACTAGCCTTGAGCTGAGGAGCTGAGGGACAGCACCCAGGCCCAGAGATCAGGCCCCATGACAAGAAGAAGAAGAAAGAGGAGGAAGAGGAGGAGGAGGGAGGGAGGAAGAGAGGGAGGAGGAAAAGGAGGAGGGAGGAGGAGGAGGG